GGGGCTTGCAGCCTGTATCTGATGAAGAAGTTGCTGAGATGTGTGGAGGGACTCAGCACATCCCCTTGTATCAGATGAGCGATTTCTATGGGAAGGTATACTGTATATCATTTTGCGTAATGATGAAATGTGACAAAAAAAAGCTTGCAATCTACATGTAATACAAACAGGTACTTGCTTTACATATTGATTTAAGTGCAGTTTTGATTAAAGTAGTTTTGATACATTTTCAATTACAAAATCCATGTTTTAGGGGTGTTTTTGTGCATATGAACAATCTTACATTGAAACTTGTACATATTTTAAAAAAGAATTGGTTATTCCAGATGTAATCTTTGTTTATTGAAATTCCTGTGTTTTGACCGGTATGGAAAGCAGGATCATGAAGGTTGTTAGGTTGCACTGGATATCTAGAGAAAATCTAGCCAGAGCAATGTAACAGAGCCTTGATATTTTTATGTTCAGGGTCCCTCCATCAAACAATTCATGGATATATTTTCTTTTCCAGAAATGACTCTTCTGTCCTGTGTCAATGATTATTTCATCACTCATAGCATTGAGTTTGACCCAGCTCACCTCTTCAAAGATTTCACTGTAAGTGAAACTAACACTTTTAGTTCAGCTGTGAATTCTTGTGTTGTGTTAAAAACTTTAGGTCATTGTCTCAAAAATGTTTTTGAAAAACTAGACCTTTCCTTTTCTATCATAATGCTTTCTTTTCTCTTATGAAATTGAAAATGATAAAAAAATTGTTAAAGACTTTTTTAATTTTTGGAAAATGACTGGGGTTTAATTTAACTTCTTTCTAGCTTTGTTTTTTTCCAACTTTGTGAATTATGGTAACATTCACATCACTATATTAATTGTATTTTCCATCCATACATTTTCTAATTGCTTCATCCAATTTAGGGACATGAGGTAGCTGGAGCCAAGCAGGATACAGTACGTGCTGAATGGAAGCCAGTCCAACACAGGGTGCAAACACACACACACACACACACACACACACACACACACACACACACACACACACACAAAGTTACACCAAGGCCAATTTTCCTGGAAACCTATTAACCTACCAGTATGCCTTTAGACTTTGGACTGCGGGAGGAAACAGGAATACCTGGAGGAAACTCATGTGAACATAGGGAGAGCATACTGACTCCATGCAGATACAGTAGATAGGTCCGGAATTTAACTCCAAGGCTGTAAAGCAGCAATGCTAACCACTGTGCCACCATGCTGCCTTAATTGTATTATCTGCATCTAGCTGCTTCTTATAGTTTATTGCTTGTATACAGTAAATGTTTGTCTCGAATCAAAGAACTGTTTAAATCAAATCCAGTTCTAGCACGTATTGCATGTTGCAGACAATCAGAAAATAATGGCTAACAGCAGTATAGAGAAATATGTACGCTCTGTAATTCTCCATATTCTTCAACTTCATTTGGAAACATGAGTGAAATTAGGTTTGCCGAGAAAAAAAAGCGATCATTTTAGCTAAATTATGTTTTACTAAAAGCTCTAATACAGATTTAGCACAGCAAAATCACTTAGGATACTCAGATGACTGCAGTTACAGAAGGAAGGCTGCAAGCCTGAATGGATGCCAGGTGTCTGTGTTTTCAATTTAATAGCCAGACTGACTTGAGGAGAGGATTATAAAGTATCTCAGAACAAAAGTGGGAAAATTAAACTGATACTTCACCACTGCATGATAACAGTACATTGTAAGACTGGCTTAATGCATAATACAAACTATCTTTAAAATGTTGTTTTTTCTAGATGGTTCTGGCTTGGTTCTCCGATCAGTGTATTTAAAATGTCAAACTAGTCTTGATATAGTAGTTCTTTCCATACAGCTACATCTGAGATGATGTGAACTATGCAGAGAAAATATTTAGAACAGAAGCCTTTAATGGGCCTTTATTGCACAGCTGCTGTTATTCTCAATATTATGTTAAAGAAAGATATTACTTCTTAAAAGTAATGTTTCTCATTCCTGTGGGTTAAAGAAAAAATACTGAGTTATGCATTTTAGGATTTAATATAAAGGAAATATGAATTGGTATGTAATCATTAATACATTATAACAATACATCTTAGTTAGAATGATTGCAGAGAACGTTGTGAAAATGTTGCTGGTCTGGAAGGCTATATAAATTGGTCATGTGCTGTAGGGATGGAGCGGGATCTCGAAGAACAGCTCTGCCTGATCTATCCAAAGATTAGAGGGGATACAGGGCAGGGATGGTCCTATAAAATGTGAAGGTATCTTTGATGCAAACTGAAGAATAAAAAAACCTTCCCCCTGTTACTGCAGGATGACATCAAGGACATCCATGTCAAAGGAATGATGCACAAATGGATCGAGAGAGACATGGGTAACAGGAAACTGCTGTTGCAGTTGTGATGATCTCTGACTATAAAGTTCTGATCCCACATAATGAGAGTGAAGGATTAAAAATGCTTTTATGGGACTGGGTAAGTTGTCGACATTTATCAGCCCATCTGCCTAACAAAAAAAACAGCTGAAAATGTAATTAGGATCTGTGTAGGAGTAAAAAAGTCACATGCTCTTCCACATGACTTCTCTTTAAAAAGTCACCTTAGTCATAAAAGTTTGTTAATGTTTTACAAGCTGATTATGTGATGATGGAAAATTACACTTGAAAACCTACAGTACTGTGAAGGCATTGCTAGGAGGGTAAACAATTTCCTATGCAAATACAATACAGAGAAAAAAGGTACTGTACATATTATAAAATTAGTTGTTCCATATTTTTCTTTTACACTAGTCACTGCTTAGTTTTCAATTCATTCTCTGGCTTTCCAAACCAGTACAAACCCTTTTCTAATATTCAGCAGTGTGAGATTCTTAGCTGTCTCCACAGAAGCCCTGTTTGGATATAAATACCAGTTACAGTGAAAATATCAAAGTATGGTTGGTGTATTACTAGTGACAAAGTTATGTCTTTTAGAGAAATACATTCTCCATGGAGATGAAACGTGCTGTATTGAACAGGCTGGTGAACGACGGAAGTAATTTTTTTCTCATTACAAACTGTAACGAACAGTTCTCTCCGGACCCTATGCGGACGACACAGTCCGACGGAGTGGGGAAACACTGGGGAAACGTCATGCAGGAACACGGGGCAGAAGACAGGGGGGCGTGTCCAAGGTGCGCTGGTGCACGGGGGAGGTGTGGCCGAGGCGAACAATCCGAGAGAGTAGTCCTTAGGGAAAATCCAAAACGCAAGGGTAAGTCCAAAACCAGGAGATCCATCAGAACTCGGAATTAAAACCACGAAGGCCGGGTCGGAACGGGGAACGGGGAACGGGGAACGGGGAACGGGGAACGGGGAACGGGGAACGGGACCAGGCGCTTCCAGGTCCCGGACTCGCATGATATGGAAATCAGATGCAGAGTCCGGATAAGCGTCAGCGCCTGGCTTTTAAGGTGGGCTGGGAATGGGAAACAGGTGCAGAGAATAAAGCCTTGAGGGAAAGGGCTGGAGCACCCTTAAGGAGGGGAAACTAATATCGTGACAAAACAGCCCTTTCAGCTTTGTGTGAGTGCTAGTCTTCCTGCTCTTGCCTGCTGCAGTGATGTGTGAAGTGTCTGTGGGATTACGGTGAGTGAGATCGTGTTCATTCTGGAATACATTTTCGAACTCTTATTTTTCTCTAAACTTTCTCTGTGCCAGATGAAGAACACCTTGTTTGTCTTTCAGAGACATTAACAGGCATTACAGTAATTTGCTAAACGCCCTGCACTGTTCTGAAACATTGTCATTAATCTAGTTTGTATATCTAAACAACATTTGACATTTGTTCAAAATCTAAATGATATTAAGAGCAAAACACAGATAACCTTTTGCAAGTAGCAACATAATAAATCAGGAACTGAATGTTGCTTTTCTCATCTGTGCTAGTGACAAAGGGATGAAATACATGGGTGGAAAGAACTGGAGGGAGTTGTTCGATGCTGTCATTGTCCAAGCTGACAAACCCAGCTTTTTCACAGACAGACGCAAGTACTGTATGTGAAACTTTCTGTAGGTTGACACTTTACTGAATCTTAGTGAAATCCTAGTTTCATGAATCTGTCTAAAAGAAACCTGTTAGGAAAAAGTTAATATTTATTTAACCTGGTTGTTCTGCTATGTCTACAGTTATATCAGCTTATTAAATATTACTAGACAGTAAGAACATTTCTTAAAATAGTGTTATTACACTATAATGAAATTATGGTCAGCTAAACTGACTGAATTTTGGTACCCAGATGAACATGACCATCATACATAAATAATACTTGAAAACCTTGAAAAATTGTGAATTTATTTGTTTTTTCAAAGTCCCTTCAGGAAACTAGATGAGAGCGGGTCCCTCCAGTGGGACAGAATCACTAAAATGGAGAAAGGGAAGATATATAGACAGGTGAGATTGCAACTATTGAAAACCTACTCTGCAACTCTGGTAACGTATTGTTCCAGCACTGCTCAGCAGGGACACAGTCAGATACCATCTGAACTAGAGTGAAAGGTTTTTATTACCAAGGTCCAAGGGACAGCTACAGTCGAGGGTTTTATACAACAGTCCTGTGACAAGATGGAACCATCTTTTCATGCTGGAAGAAACTTGTGTGTATATTTGCATTCAGTTTGTGATTTTAAACTTGATTTAATTCGTACTGCAAGGTCAGGCCCTTTTTACTTATTGTTATATTTTATGCTGTAACATGAACAGTAGTAGTTTTAAGGGATGTCACCTTGTACATGCTTAATTAATGAGATTGTGGTGCTAGAACTGCAGTTTCTGTAGTTGTTAGCCATGAAGGTGCAGTAGATTGGTAGGCAATTTGTCGAATCAAAGCATGTTTCTCCCTCACGTAGAGAGGAACAGTTGCCCTTAGTCTCATTAGACAGTGCAGATATCTAAAACTAGGCAATATTTACAATTTACTAGACCAGTACTGTTCATTTTCCGAAATTACAGATTTTTTTTCCTTTCATCACAATATTGTTTAGTTTTTTTCATTTTTTCAATGCCTCTAGCCTGGGTTTAACACCTGTTACAAGAATTGAAATGATATTATAAATTTTCCTTTTGTCTTCCTTCAATTTTATTATAGATTATTACATTTTAGCACATTTACATTTACATGTAGGTTCTACTTTGAAAATGCATTTTCCTCAAAATAATGTTTGTTTTTGCTTTACTTGTCCAGTACTTACATTTCTTATGTAAGTCATTGTTTGAATTCAGTGATATAAAGCAAATCTCCAATAAATAACTTTTCTGAGGAGTTAGGAGTCCTGGTGGTTCTGCAGAACAACTTTTGATTTTCTCACGTTGCCAAAGTACTGATTAGATGAGACTGCTGGACTGGATATGTTCATTTGCTGTATACCTGGTTAAAAGCATAAATACCCTCTGTTTTTGAAGACTGTGCCACAGAAGTGGTGATTTAATATCTAATGCATTTAATTCTGAAACTGAACATCTTGTGTTGGTACATTCAGCTGAGCAAGATACTTGGGAACATTGGGAGAGAATTTCTTTTTTTGAATGAACGTCCTACTTTTCAATATATTATGGGAGACATTTACAGATTTAGTCATTTTCCATCAATGTTAGATTTTCATTCTTTCAAAAAAGAATTCAGAATAAAGTTCCGATATCTGTTTTGTCTTGTGACATTCTGAAATGAGATACTCTGTACAGATTACGTGTTTCTAACGTAGGGAAACATTTCTGTAGGGAAATCTGTTTGATTTTCTGCAGTTGACTGGCTGGAGTGGATCGAAAGTTCTGTATTTCGATGACCACTTGTACAGTGTCTTGGTAGTGAGTATCGCTGATCTATTCCAGTGATTACTGGTTTCCAGGTGAAATGCCTGTCAGGGGGAGTCAATGTCTGTAAGCCTGTAGTTCCATAGACTGTATGGTTATGAACATGTAATGCAGCTTCTACACAGTAGCGTATCATTTCATGATAGGAAAATATGTGATCCAATATGTGACATGACTTACAACTATACAAAAAAACTCCAAAAAAGAAAGGTACTCCATGTTTAGTGTTTTTCCAAGATGTGAGTCTGCAGTTGCACCCATCCTTTTACACAGTAATAATACTAGTCTTTTTTGATAAATATTTTTGTTTGCTTTCCAAGCGTTGTTGTGATGGTTACTGCAATGTGTTGTTTATCTAGGACCTCATGCTGCGTCACGGGTAGAGGACGGGTGCAATTGTGCCAGAACTGCAGGCAGAAATTCGGATCATCAACACGGAGCAGTACATGCACTCGCTGACCTGGCTGCAAGCCCTCACTGGACTGCTGGAAAGAATGCAGGTACTCAATGTGGGGAAAATTTCCTTTTAAGTTATAGTGTGTAAGTCTTTCCTCCTTTCAAAAGCTGTAGTCTGTTGACATGAGGAAATAGGAAATCTGTAAGAGAACACTGGGTCTCCTAAACAGTGCCCTCTATTCTCTATTGCCTTCTTTCCTCCCTCTGTCACCTGTGTTCACCTTTTACAGGAGCTAACAGAGGAAACACAAGGGCTGTGAGTGTAACACATCATCAGCATGAAGTACATCTTCTTTTTCTCCAGCAGCTCTCTTCTCTCTTTAGATGTTATTGAACATTAACATTCTTCCTAGGAATTTTTCCTCAATTGCTTCTTTCATATTGCCAGTCAGGACTTGTTTTCTCTTCACGAAGAGACACGTTCACATTTCTCTCACACTTGGCGTAGAACCTCTTCATTTGTTTTTCTCTCCATCCAACATAATTTCATCAGCATTCGCCAGATCCTTTTTGGTAAGAAGGAAGGCACTGTGAGGTTCAGATCATAGGTGAGAGGTGAGGTGAGAGAGGCTGGGAGTCTAATAGTTTGATAGTGCAGGGGTAAAAACTGTCTCTGAGTCTGGTAGTCCGGGCCTGAATGCTCCGGTATCGTTTTCCAGATGGTAGAGGGTCATACAGTCGGTAGCTGGGGTGTGTGGGGTCTTTGATGATACTTAGAGCTTTCCTCAACCACCATCTGTCATAAATGTCCTGTATGGATGGGAGGGCAACCCCAGTGACGGACTGAGCAGTTTTCACCACCCGCTATAGGGCTTTGCGGTCAACAATACTGCAGTTGCTGTACCACACTGTGATGCAACCAGTCAGTGTGCTTTCTGTAGTACATCTGTAAAAGTTAGTGAGGATCTGGGGACATATCTAAGCCTTCTTCAACTGTCTTAGGAAGTACAGGCGCTGTTGCGCTTTCTTGATCAGACAGGTGGCGTTGAGAGACCATGTGAGGTCCTCGGTGATATGGACGGCAAGGAATTTGAAGTTACTTCAGTCCTTTTGATGTGGATAGGGGCATGTCTGTTTTGCAGTTTCCTGAAATCAACAATCAGCTCCTTGGATTTGCTGAAGTTGAGGGTGAGGTTGTTGTCTTCACACCACATTGTATGGGGATTGACCTCCTCCCTTTAGGCCCTTCCATTATTGTCAGTGATCAGACCTACAACTGTGGTGTCATCAGCAAACTCGATGATGGGGTTGGGGATCATGGGTGTAGAGGGAGTAGAGTAATGGACTAAGCACACACCTTAGAGTTAGTGTGCCGGAGGTGTGGTTTCCAAGCCTGACAGCCTGAGGTCTGCCTGTAAGAAAGTTCCGAATCCAGTTGCAGAGGGTGGTGTTGAGACCCAGTGCACCGAGTTTCTTGACTAGTTTCTCTGGAATGATAGTGTTAAAAGCTGAGCTGAAGTTGATGAATAGTAGTCTTGCCTATGTGTTCTTTTTGTCCAGATGGGATAGGGCCGTGTGTATGGCAATGGAGATTGTGTCATCTGTGGATCTGTTGGGCCGGTAGGCAAACTGGTACGGGTCCAGTGTGTCTGGAATGGTGTCCTTAATGTGCTTCATGACCAGCCTCCCGAAGCACTTCGTGATGACGGGTGTTAGTGCCACCGGTCGGTAGTCATTAAGACATGTCACTGTGGTTTTCTTTGGTATTGGGATGATGGTGGTTGAGGCAGGAATGCTAACAACTGTGCCACCCTTAGAGCATCCTCCATCTGATGTAATAAAGTTAACTAAATAGAGACAAATCTTCCTCCTTTTTGCCTTCAGTGCTAATCTTTAATTATCTGCCTTTGCGCCTGGACACACTCATCACTTTTGTTTTGATCTTTGATGTTTGATCTCATTCTGAAGTCAATTGCTGTTTCACTAGTAACTAAAGTTTTTAGCCCTTCCTCCATGTGAGACTGCAAATCTCCATGACTTCATTCTTTGTTCTCTAATCGTGATTCCTCCTGTTACTAATTTCAGTTATTATCATTTAATGCATCAGGTCAAAGACGCTCAGCACATCTGATGCTAGACAGTAGTGAGTGGCACTCTTATAGTGTTTCATGATAAGGAAATGTGCTTGGAAGTCTGTGTAGACTTAACATGCGACTTTCTTTTTTAATTATTTCTTATTTTAGAGAACAAAACAAAAGTGTTTTACATAAAACCCACCATTATTCAGCCTTACATCACAGGCAAAAATTGTCTATTCCTGTTTGTTCCCCTAGTATTTTACAATTATATAACTTTTAAACAAAACTATATACATTCAAAAGAAGGAAGATGTATACATTTATGAATATGAAAAGGGAGGAGATCAGTTGTTTTGTATCTCAACAAAATCCAACCTTAAAGGTTTAATGTACTGAACCCATGTAGACCAATATTTGACACATTTTTTCATTTGTAGTTTTAGTGAATTTTTCCCATTATATATATTTCCTTTATTAATTCAATCCAATCATTCATTGTTGGTAGATCTGTGAGAAGCCACTTTCTTGTTATAGCTTTCTTCCCTGCTGATATAAGGATTCCAAACAAATATTTGTCAGTTCCCCTCCAATCAAAATCCAGTTTACCAAAATATAAAGCCTCAAATGTAAAGGGTACATTCCTTTCAAATGTAGTTTCCAGGGCCTCATGTAACTCCTTCCAAATAAAAGCCTTATTTTAGGGCACTTCCAGAATATATGTCAATGATTACCTTGGTTTCCGCACTATCTCCAACAAATTAGAGTTTTTCTCAGTATGGTGCACCTTCTGACTCAGAGTAATGAAAAATGGAACAATGTTTTTCAGCAAAACTCTCACTATAAATGCGAGTTAGTACATCTCACAAATTCACAAATTTTAAGCCACTCTTCATTCGAAATTCTAACTTCACTCTCCTTCGCCCATTTACTTTTATGTACTCTGTAGAAAATGATTTATTTCCCCTAAAACGTTTATATAATCTAGATATAATACCTTTACCTAATTCTGATATGTAGGCTTCTGTAACTATTTTCACTACCCCATCATTAACAATATCTAAATCTCCCCTTCTAATCTTATTAAAATAGTGGTGCATTTGAAGATATCTATATAAATCTGAATTCTCAAAATTGCATTTCTCCTTTAAATACTGAAAACTTTGTAACTGATTCTTATCAATTATATAACAAAATGCAGTTATTCCTTTTGTGATACAAATTTTAAATCTATTATCCAATTTATTTGGTCTAAACTCTGTACCATAGGCGCACCATCTGAGTATCTTTATTGCCTCATCTAAATTATACTCTTTTGTAATCATATTCAATGTCCTTAGTTGAAACTTTATCCATGGATTGAATATTTTTTCAGTAATTTTGTCTAAATTCCTATTACCTAATAATGCCTGAATTTGAGGGCTATTAAAAAGGATAATTCAATATCTTTCCATCTGTCTTGATATTCTGGATTACAAGAATTAATGAGAGGTTTAACTTGAGATGCATAATAATAATCTTTCAAATTTGGTGAAGCCATACCACCTTTATCTTTTGAAAGTTGCAATGTTTTAAATATAATTCTAGGTTTTCATCCCTGCCAAATAAACCTAGAAATCATCTTATCCCATTCTGAAAATTGTTTTGCAGAGACTTCTACAGGGAGAGCTTGAAATAGGAAGAGTAATCGGGACAGTAGATTCATTTTTACAGATTCAATTCTAGAACTGAAACTCATAAAAGGGATTAGGTACCATTTCAATATATCTGCTTTAAGTTTAGTTATAAGGGGTCCATAATTAATTGTTGCTAATAATAATAATAATAATAATAATAATAATAATAATTAATAATAATAAATAATTGCTTACACTTATATAGCGCTTTTCTGGACATTCCACTTAAAGCGCTTTACAGGTAATGGGGACTCCCCTCCACCACCACCAATGTGCAGCATCCACCTGGATGACTCTTGGATAATACAGAAATATATTTTGGTAAATATACTCCTAGATATCTCATTGAACTTTGGTCCCACTTAAGGTGGTATTTGCTTTTTAAAAAATCGGGAGGGTTGTAATTAAAAGTTAGAATTTGTGTTTTTTGAACATTTAGCTTATAGCCTGCAAGCAAACTAAATCTATCTAAGAGTTTCATTAGAAATGAACCAGTGGGATCCCCCAGATATAATAAAACGTCATCTGCGTACAGTGCTATCTTGTGCTCATTCCCTTGTATAGAAATACCTTTTATTTTGATAATTTGTCATATCCACTGAGGTAGTGGCTCTATATATAGAGCAAAAAGCAATGCAGATAAAGGACTGCCTTGTCTAGTCCCTCGTTCTAAAGTTATTCTATCAGATAAGTACCCATTTATTTGAATTCATGCTGTTGGTCTATCATATAAGGTTTGAATACCTTTGATCATATTTTCACAAAAACCAAACCTACCTAAGACCCTATAGGGTTATTTCCAACTAACAGAGTCAAAAGCTTTCTCAGCATCTAGGCTCATCAAAGAAGCTTCTAAATTATATTGTTGAATATGGTTCATGATATGCAATGTGCGTCGAATGTTATCATGGGTTTGTCTATCTTGAATAAACCCTGTTTGATCATAGTGTATCAAATGAGGGAGAATCTTTTCAATTCGTTTAGCCAGTATTGCTGTATAAATTTAATAATCCACATTAAGGACTGAGATTATTTGAACAATCCACAATCTAATCTATCTTTCCCCTCCTTAGGGATAACTGAGATAATAGCCTCTTTCTATGATGGGGGTGTAATGTTGCTATAGCCAAAATGTAAATGTAGTGGCTCTCTGAAGGCACCAGTTCTGTAGGGTTTGGGCATTTACTGGGACAATTATTAATTGTAACAGTAAATCACAAAATTGATTCTTTTGATGGCTTTAGAATCCAACCATGCGACATAACTCAAACAACGCACACACACGGGTACTAATACACGAGGATACATTTATTAATACATAAAATATGCATATAAACTAACAGATCTTATCGA